TTTCCTTTCCTTTCCTTTCCTTTCCTTTCCTTTCCTTTTCCTTTCCTTTCCTTTCCTTTCCCTTTTAAAGCATAATTAAACGTATCATTATTAGTTCAGTGGCATAGATATTACGTATGCATGGTTAGAAGTTCCGTTCACTTGGACCCGCGAAGTCTGGCTACTCTCAGACTGTTTCCTAAATAGCTGTTTCAATGTCTTGACCACAGCATTCCTTACTTCTCTGATCCTCCAACAAAAAACGAGTGGATTCATGGAGGAGTTTAAATAGATGATTGTGGTAGTGACATTCAATATTAATTTATATTCCTTAGTGATGCCTGATACTGCTCTCATGCCAAGGGCTATCGCATAAGGCAGGTAACATAAGACCATAACGAGATGCACAACAACAAATCCTACTACGGATTTCCAGTACTTTTTCAAAACGATTCTCTCGCTTTCATGTCGTTGTTGTTTTGGGGCACTGTTTCGTATTTGCAAATGGTGCTTTCTCACAATTTTATAGATTCTGCAGTACAATATCGTTGAAACCATTAGACATATAATAATGATAGTGATCCCGCCATAAACTGGAACACTTGGCAGCCAGGGGTAGAACGAAACACACAGAGAAAATGAAATAAAAGAAACGAAAGTCGCTTTCAAAACCAAGGATTTCGTGACTATCGCCTTGTAACGCAAGTGCAAATGTAACGCAAGGAAACGGTCTATACTAATGAAGGTCATTGTTAGGAAAGACATCCCAGCTAATAATCCTGCAAGCATGTTTGTCATTGCACCTGTCACACAAGATATTTTTCCAAGACGGTTCAGCTCTGCGGCTTTGTTGAGTACATATATTGGTTGTTCAATCAAACCAACACCTAAATCAGTACATGCCAATATAGAGATTAATAAATGAGATGGATCGTGTAGAGATGGGGTCCTTCGTATGGAGACAAATATTACACCATTAAAAAACACTGCCACAAGAGAGAATATAGCATTTAAAATACAGTTAACGATATAAACTTCACGGAGATAATCCAGATAAAGAAGATTGCTTTGAACAAACGGACAACTAGACACGGGTTCAGTTGCCAGCGTTTCATTCGGTGTTTGTCGTAATTCCAATCTAAACTCACTCATCTTCGAATTCGGAAGAAAGTTGCGATTAAGTTTTCTCTTGATATCCCCAGTTTCTGTTTCAGAGATGTTCTTTTATCAATGGTTCAACGTACATACGAGCAAAGTTGCAAAACACTACATTCTGTAGTCAATTGTGTAGTGATATTAGGATCTTTCTTCTTAAATCACTTACTCTTGTTACCAACAATACAGCAGAAACTTCAGTCAAATGTCTTGCCTAGTTTTTCGACGCCTAAGCACAAGTACGACTTTATTTTTTAGTCTGTTGCTTTGTTGAAGCTCCGTCGTTTGACCTTGTTTGTCCACGTTTAGTCGATTTACACAATCTTAACAGAAAGTTCCCCAATAAGAAGTTAATCTTTCGAAACTCGAAGGGGAAATCCCACGAATTCATCTCGATCCTTGGTAATTTCTTTCATTTTCTTCACTATTTTCAATTAAAGTTGGTCAAGAGTAAATAGAATAGGAAGATTAAAATTGAATCTACTCCTGTTTAGGTCTGTTACGAAGTAGTAGTTTTCGTTCTATTTCGACAGATGATTTTCAACCATCAAACTGTCTTCCCGCGATGATCTTGCTCATCTCGTTGAAGCACCGAAATGAAACGAATGTCTGGTGAGTGTACTTTTTCACTAAAATCTTCTCAGTGAGATTCAAGTTGAGCTCATCCAGCGATTCACATTCAAGTGGATATGACTGTGGCGTAGATGAACAGTGTCTTTTACAACAGTAGTTTCAGCTGTCGTTGGGTTGAAGAGGAAATCCCCTGTTTATCGTAAAATTTTGTAATAAATAAATCTATTAATCGCGATACGATGAATCATGCAAAATCGGGCGCCTGAGGGCAACTTTGTACTTGAAAGGTAGACTTGCAAAAAGTCCTGTTAAAAAAAGATCATTTGTTTGAAGAGAAAATTTCATTGATTATCATGAAAAAAACATGAAAATATTAATGAAACCGAAACAGAACATTCATTTGTGCACGTACTTTTTCAAGTGATCAGTTTTTGACATTTATATTTACTTCGCTTTAACTTGGGATGTAACATTAATTATTCAAAAGATATTATTAAACTTGAATTAAGGAGTCTGTGGGTAGTTTTGGTCTGGCACACATAGCCGCATTGAAACGGCTACAACTTCGTCTTGAATAACTCGATCTGCAAACGGACTTTATATTCGGACTTTACGGACTCTTTTATTTTTATTTTATAAAAGAAAACACCTTAGCAAAAACGTAGGTCGTCAGAAGGACAGCCACATTCCAAAATGTAGTCGTCTTTTGCAAATTTTAGTCATCCCTGATGACGACTGGGAATTTCATGTGCATTGAAGGGTTTTATGGCAGTCAAATAAAAATAAGTGCGCTTACGCTGTTAAAGCACGCGACGGAATAACACGGAAGTCAGGCGTGAATAATCAACAAGTCACCTTGAGCGAAAATAGTTGTGAGCGTCTTTATTTTGCCTTAAAACCCTTCAATGCATATGAAGTTAAACGAGAATATTTGTAAAAGATACATCTTTTAGTGACTTCATTTAGAAAAAAATCGTTCGACCATTTTTTGAATGCCGCTTTTATCGATATTTTCTATTGCTTTTGACAATAAATGGAGTCATTTAGCTTCATGTCAAAAAATAAAAATAACGTTCTTAGAAAGAAAATCACAATTTGATTCATACTCAATGAGAACAGTGTCTATATCCGTACCTATATTCTAGCTGCTAAAAATATTGAATCCAGTAAATTAAAGTCCTGATTTTGAGGGTATAAAGTTTACACACTGGAAATAATAGTAAAAGTCCATAAAACATATTCATCGTAAAATATTTGGAAAACGCTCTCATACATTTTTTTTTGTTTATATTGCAATATGTTGGGTGCCTTGATGGACACTATCGACTGGTGCAAGTCGCTTAGAGAGTTTAGGTCTAGTTTTCGAGAAAATAAGCGGTAAACGATTTCTATGATGTCATCATTACGCCATAACAAAAAGGCCGCTTTATACTAATTTATCATTTTTGAAACCTTTAATCCTTTCCCGACATTGTGTGAAAAGCGCCTGCAGTTCGAGTTATTCAAGATGAAGTTGTAGTCGTTTCAATGCGGCTAGGTGTGCCAGACCAAAACTACCCACAGCCTCCTTAAAGCTAGACAAATCATTAAAATTTTAGAATCAGTATATAGACTTTCTCGCGTTGTGATTGGCCGAACGACCAGTGATTATGAGACGATAATCACTGACTGAGCGGTGAATACGAGGTTTGCTAATTAAAGTTTGCCAGAGCGGAAGCAACATACTCAGTCCACAGGCAGCCCAAACAAGGTTCCTGTGTATGGTTTGTAAGCGAATTTTTGGGAGTTATGATAAAGTCATGACAATAAAAGGTTTCACTCAACAATTTGCCTCAAAACTTGTTGCAGCTGTTGCTTTTACTTTGTTCAGTCTTCTGGCGAAGTTTCAGCGGGATTTGATGCCGTTTAGTGGGAGAGAAGAGCGGATTTTGAAAAAAACCCACTAAACGGCCTCAAATCGCGCTCAAACTTCGCCAGAAGACTGAACAAAGTAAAAGCAACGACTGCAACTACTCAGTGAACATATGGAGAATAATTGTTAATTAATTAACAGATCAAAAACAGTTTTCCGTGTTTGATACTCTGATCAAAACACGCGGGATGTTGGGAGAACACGAGAGGAGCGTAGGAAACCACGATGCGTAGCGGAGTGGTTTCCAGCTTCTCGAGTGTTCTCCCAACATTCCAAGTGTTTTGATCAGAGTATCGAACACAGAAAACTGTTTTTGATTTGTTTTATAAAATATCAACCACACGCGAAAAGATCGAAAAAAAGCAAAGTCTAAGTAAATTCTCCCTACGTGCCGTCTTATTCAAACTGACCAATGAGCGCACGCGATAGATTAAAAATGACGATAGCGGATACTCTCATCAAACATGGTTTTCGACCAATCATAGCGTGCGTAGTATCCCAATTATTTTATAACATATAATCAAAATATCTTTTTTCTCTAATAGTTTTTTTCTCTAATACTAAATATATGATATCTTAACATGTGAAGATAATACTTGATATTTTAAGTTTGCATGTAAAAATAACACCATTGGGTAAAAATCCACAAAAAATGTATTTTATCGATTATCATATATGTTAAACAGAATATTACATGGCTACTTAGTCTCGTGTTGAGAATATCTTACCCGTTTGCTGCGCTCACTCGTAAGTTTCTTTTTATTTTTAAGTTTACGTGTATCCTGCGCGGCCATGTATGATTCTAATAAGTACACCAGAGTAATATAAATAGAGATTATCACATGTTAAGAACTTGATATCACCTTTATTCACGAGTTTTTCCGTATCATATCGCGAACGAGCGAGTCCTCGAGCGAGTGAAATTTTATTCGACTAAAATAAGATTATAAAGCTATTTAAAGAACGTTTCTATCGTAATTTTTAGCGTGAATTTTACAGTAATCAAACTTCTAAACGTCAAGTGGAACCTCGGTCACGCAATCACCAAAGATCGCGTTTTTTGCTCATCAGTACCGACAATCCCAAAACCTTTCCAATGGAGCTTAAATTTACCAAACCACA